ACACAAATAATGTCAGTTTTTGATCCAAACATGACGAGTTTGGACGATGACGCGCTTGTTTTAGTAGCTTTCTCTGCGATTTTAAAAAGGAAAAAATTTAAGTAGAAACGTGCTATGTGGTGTAAAGATTAGTTACTGTAAGGTAAAACTTTTCCTATATAAAATTATAAATTTAGTTAAAAATATATTCACGTAATTGGTACAATTACCTGTGAATGGACGAAGAAACTTATTTAAACCTATGTCCCTTATCACACCTTTAATTAAAAAACAAAATACAATTATGAGATTAAGGTATAACATCTAATGTTTGTTAACAATTTATTGTTTACTGATTGTGCGTTGCCTGTCAGACATACATACGCTCATTCAGATTTTATTGTACCAACGCGACTTGAACAAGCATGTAGATGAAAATTCAAAAATTCAATTAATCTTTATTTCCACTTATACATTCACAATGTTTGCATAAAATTATCATATATACGCTCAAACGTGCTTGTACATAAATATTGTATCTGCATGATTTACAAGCTTGCAATTTCGTGTGTATATATATATTTTTTAAATCGTATTTAAAGGATATTTTTTTACACTACAGATCAAGTATAAAGCTTAAATAAAACTATAAAGTCATTTTTTTGCCATCAGGTATTAATGGATAAAAATTACCGAAAACTAGGTCAGACAGTATTCGATCCGTTTTCGGGATCAGCTGGTGTACGGGTTGCAGAAATAGTGAGCTTTTTAAAGATCGAACCGGGTGTAACACACACACTCTACTCTAACGACGAAACGATGGTAGTGGTGGTGGTAGTAGTAGTAGTAGTAGTAGTTTGAGACACTACAGACCTTCACCCCTGCAAGCGTTCTACCGTAGTCGCATTGATTGATATCGGGTTGGTTTTATAGCCCTTGTGGCGCCTGTTACGATTACGACGAGGCATTGTTGTATACAACCAACTTCTATATCATATACTTTAGTGTCAATTTAAATCTTAAATTTATTTAAAAACTGTTTATTTTTCCGGTGTTAAACTGACAGTAAAACAAAATTATATTGGACATAATACGATAGGTATACACAAAAATTTTCTTTTTAATTTATTAAAATAAATCGAATAAAATAAATATACAAAATGAAATTCTCAACTACAACATTGATATCATGCGATGTTTAATCGAAGTAAGGTTATATATATTATATTACAAGAATAAATAGATACGACACTTGTAATTTAATTTCGAATTTAATATTTATCAAATTCAATAAGCCAATTAAAAAATGTATAGAATTAATTGCAATTAAAGTTTTTCGAGTAATTAATAGGAAGTAGGTTCATAAAATATAAAGGAAATTAAAATTATAAGTGCTGATTTTATTCATAAAAAAAAAAAAAAAGTGCTGATTTATAGAATGCATAAGTTATAAAACGGTAAATAGTTTTAAATATTAGAATAATATTTGTTACAAAAGATAAGTACAGAACTAGTATTCAAAACTAATTATTATTGCAAGTCGTTATTAAATCTTAATGCTATCAAATACTTGAATAACAATTAATTAAGCAATAGTATGATATAAAAATTATTGTAACTTAGTATACCAATAATTTGAATAGTAAAATAAATATAGGATATTTAGTAATAAATAATATAATAATAAACAACGTAAATATTACATATTTTGAGTTGTTGTACTATAAGGCAACACTAAAGCCAGCTGACAGAAATTCATAAAATACTATATAGATAGAGGTCAAGTGGGCGAAATATACAAATAGCTATACTTGAGTGGGGTACATTATGTTAAACATTAATCATTCGTTAACAATAATAATGAAGTTTCATTATTTTAAAAATAAATACCTACAATTTGACCTTTTTATCTAATGATTTATTCCAAATAAAGACTAATATGAGTATTTTAGTTTTCTATAATAATCTAAAGAATGTCTTAAAACGTTGGATATGAGCCACTATAGATCGTCAACCCCGGTAAGCGTAGAAATATCAAAGCTAATTTGTACTTGGTAAAATGTCGAAACTGAATATCCTAGGTTGATTATATATTTTATTAAATTAATATTGTATAGGTCCTCAAATTATAAGAAATATGGTCTAAAGTGACTGTATATAAAGTAGCAAATATTCATACATTTAGGTTTAGATATTTTTGTCGAGCTGTAACATAGAAGAATTCAAAGAAATATATAGAAGGCGGAGTTAAAACCTATAGATATATGATGTATTATAAACCGGCAACCCACAGTCAAAGATGATGTCATAATCGCGAATAATATTATTTTTAAACAGGTATTATAGGTAATGGTTTGTGCATCGTGAAAGAAAACGACCACGCAATTTCATTTTTTATAATAAGTATTGAATATTTGTAAATTAAGAACTTCATGTACCTATATGTTTTACACAAGATAAATATAATGTATTATCATACTTTATATTTATATTTATACTATTTATTATTGTACTTAGTATATTTAGAAAAGCAAGAAAGTTTTAAATTAAATATATTACCTATTTCATGATTTACAAATATTGAAGTTTTTTAACAGTCTGGTGGACTGTATTTCTTTGTATAATAAGTGTTTAACGATATTATTAACTGCTTTTGAAACCCTTAAACAAACGTAATAGTATATACACATCCATTGTTTGCTGGAAAAAAATTCAATACTCTTTTATTTGTAACTATTAAATACAATATCTAATGTTTGTATTTCATTATATAGTAATAGATAGTTGTATTAATGTGCTCACACATGTAATTTGTGCTCACACAAAAGGGTTATTACCCGTTCATCATAAATAAATATACCACTGGTAATATTTTTGTCCCATCATTTAAATTATTATCATCAATTAATCATTTAAACTCAAAAGGTTTTATGTTCTTAATGTAGGTAATAACTTATTGGAAATTTACATGTATGTGTTATCTTTACAGCGTTTCATTGACAAGGGTTTCTTTATAATATCTTCCAAGGAATTAGTTAATAAAATAAATACATAATAATACTATATATATATTTAATTAATAAATACTAATAGTTGTAATCAATGATACGAAGTAAAAAATACTGTTAATTCCATTTTTTTTCTTTCAATATCTCAAACACTTTTATAAAATATTACACATATTATGTTATTATTATACATATATCCTTTATTCAAAAATAATTACATAATGATTGATTAACAACGGTTTGGCAATGGGCAAGTTAAAAACTTGGCAGAGATAGAAATAAGTGATTTCCGTTTATACTATTATGCTTACGTATATTTCGTGTGCATATCATTATTAATTAAAATAAAAACATACTTGTATTTGTACACCATTAGGAATGGATGAGATTGGAATATCACTTTTTAATAAAGAAAAACTAAATAACATTTCAAAAAGGATGCAAAACAAGTTTTAAAAGTAAGCCGCAATTACAAAACTTTGTAGAACAGAATACAGATATCACGTTTATGAGTATACGAATTTTTATATGGGTGGAAAGATAATAGCAGCAGCATTATTATAACAATATTAGATGAATGAGCGGTTTAATTATGCGAACTATGTAAATAGTTATCAATAATATAGTAATATTCTTCGTCATTAATTTGTAGTACTAATAGCAATATTTTATCGTTAGCATTAAACATGTAGTGTAAACTAATGCATCACACGTTTCAACGCGGCGAAAAAAAAAATTAAATAAATAGCTTTCAATGAAAATAAAATTTACTACGTTATCTAACCTAGCATGAGAGCCGCACAATTAGCGGTAATGCATAAAAATTCAGAACGGAAACGCCTGGTTATCATTACTACTTAGTTAAACGTTAAACAAACGGAATTCATTGATGGAGGGAGCCACACCGTGAGTGCCTCGGATACCAGGACCTACTACAGTGGGACGAATATAAATTGGACGCGGACAACTGACTATGCAAAGATGCGCCGCGATATCGACGCCCATCGAAAATAGGAATAATTACTTTCATGAAACCGTCGCTAGAGAAGCCAAAACTGCGATCCCAAAAACAGCCGTTCGAAATTTCTGAGTTTTTATACCTTTCACTGTCAGATCCGAAAGCAAATGGCTTAGGCATTGGTTGGGATTCATATTTCAGATCGGAAGATAGGGGCTGCTATCAATATTTTTTGTAAACCTATCGCATACAATTAGATAAGAAAACCGTAACACGGTATATTGAATATGTTTATATCGCATTCAACAACTTTTTTGGAGACTAGAAATATATCTGACAAGGCTAAGCAAAGTTTATTACGCGAGGATAGAGGGGGCCAGGAGAGTAGACGTTATCTTTAACGATAGCACTGAATGACTTTGCACGGAGTCGGGCGTCGGCAATTTCGACAATCATGAACAATGCGACATGAAAGTCGAAATATACATTACATAAACAAAAGTACCACTATAGCTTGTTATGTACTAAATAAAATAAGTATAACAATTTAAAATAAGAAAAACCAACATATCATAGGAAAGAAGACGAGAAAGAAAATGAGTAGTGGAATGATGAATCATCGGTGGGGTGTGTGGTACCGGGGACTTCGGCGGTCGGAAATATCGGCGTTTTCCCGAGGATGGATGGGAGGGAATGAGTTTCCGTGCGCGCAGCAGAACCCGCGGTAAACAACATTAGTAATACAGCAGCCACCTCGTCGTCACCGACTGATTATAGTAATATTATAAAATATAAAATACGTGTACACGTTAAATTCGTACAAATTGTTATGTCGGTCAAGGCTACCACGGCAGTGAGTTCGCCAATAGTAATAATAATTACAACTGCCGTTTTAGACGGGCGCGCGGGCGGGGGCGTTTGCGAACGAGTTTTTTCCCCTCATATTTTTATGGAATAGGTAATATTTAACGTAAATAGCTGGCTAACGACGAGAGCACGCACACTAAAGTTATAATAATAAGGTAAGTGTAGCGACTAAAACGACGAACGCTTACCTTGGTGCCGAACCGCGGACGATAAAATGCTACACCGTATTTAATCTCGAGATCGCACACGAACAGTATTTCTTCTTCACCGATTAATATATATTATTCAGTAATATTATTGCGGGCGTAGCCGTTCGCTTAATTAACAACTGCTCTTAGAGCATCGTCACTGGTGTAAAATAATATAAAAAAATTGGGAATAAAAAAAAAAAATCAAAAAAAAAAAAAAACAACACAACACAAGCACGTAGTAATCCTCTCAGTAGCGTCCGCAGCCGGCCGACAAACTCAACTAATGAAGGGCGTCGGGCAGCTGCGGCGGGGCGCGCGCGCAGACTCGCGTTCTGCCGTCGCGAACCGTCGGCGCAGTGTCGCCAACACGGACAGTGCCCGAAAACACCGTGTCGTTACGGCATCCAGGCTGCTTGTAAAAACGACGGTGTATAATAATAAAACCTAATAATATTTTCAACGTTATTTGTCATCACGTCATTGGGCATTGTTATTTTTATTTAAATTAATGGGGTACAATCGATCTTGCAATCATTGTCAACCAAAGGGTTATTTATCTGTTATCCGTCTTCCTCAGCCCTCATTATCTAACATTTTAATAATATCATCGGTTCGTCGGATTTTGTGTTATGGATATAAGGACCATGAAATAGATTAATATTTTAATTTACATGGTATCGTTTGTATTTGGATAGTAGTTTGTAATGGTTAGTAGTTTTAAAATGAAAAATATCTCATCAAGTTTGAATGCGTGAATAATTTTGTAAATTTTTTAATTTTTTGGAACTTAATCCATAAAGTCCAGGGCCGTGTTAAGGGGGAGAGGAGTCAAAGAGGACAGTAGTTTTGTAAAAGTAATGGAACACCCTTATATTCACTTAATATGCTACCTGTGCTCAGTGGCCCCGAAGAAAAAATGTTGTCCCAGGGCGCTGAAATGTTTGACACGGCTCTGATCGTATCATATGTAAAATACAATATGCTCACTATTAAAATTGTACACGAACCCATAACGATCGATGTAATGTATCAATTAATGTATGTAGGAGGCGTGAAGTTTTTAGGGGTTAAAACTCCCCTGACATATCAGAAGAAAATGTTATGAAAAAATAACCACACCTACAAATTGAATAGTTATTTCAAAGATTCCAATTAGACTTGCAAATAAATATATTATATAATGAGTAATAAAGCATGCTATTTATCTACATTTTACACTTATTCAAAACCCTCCCGAAATTGTTTTTTGCCATTCATACCATTGAATGTTGGGGTAATCGATAAATAATAGTATGATAAAAGAAATATAAATGTCTAAGACCAGGGACCCTCCACCCACAAGTACGCTACTGATTATTAATAACTTTTATATTACATTTTATATTTTAAAACCTAAACTAATATAATGTATAATTGTGTTCAGGCTATAATTTAGGAATAAAGTAGTTACATATGTTATTTATTTCTATAAATATATAAAAATTGTATGGATACATTCCAAGTAAATATATATAGTAACATAAAAAATGACTAAATATGGTGTTATTTCATGAACAATTTTAATTCAAATTTTATTCCAAAATAAGTTAGAATAAAAAATGATTTTTTGATTAAATTGAGCATTTATAAATACGATTAAATAGTTATTCAAAATACTAATTCAGTTTTGAAATTATATTTTTGTAACTTAAGCCTACGACAGTAAAAATTATTCAACAATCATTTCATAATAGTATTGTATTGTATATTTTGATTTATAAATTATATGTTTCATTATGTATATACCTAAAACAAAATGTATAATGCTTATACATTTATAATCAAATTCAGTACCTACGTCATTTTTGTAGCTCAAACATATAAATGTTAAAATGTATTAAAAAAGTTTTATACACATTTGTATTAAAAGAATTAAAAGTTTTATTTAAGTAAAGTTGTAGAAACCATAAATTATTTTGATTCACTGAAACATGATCAAATATACAATTTTTATTTTAGGCGTTTATAGCTGGTTATGTATTTGTTATTAAACGAGACTAATTTTTAAAAAAGATAACATAGTTCTCGATGACACCTTAGTATATTATGCATAGATAACTAATATTACACCAAATTATATTATATTGCCTGTTTAGAACATTTTATTTTGTTCTATGTATATTTTATAGATTTATATTTTTATTATTTATTACTACGTAAATCAAGACGTAAATGATTGAGATTATTTCCATAAGTATGTCTGTATGTACTACATATACTATATGTAAGTACGAAAAAAATATAATGAAAACAATTATGGAAGTAAATCGTTAAAATTAACATTACATTTCGGTTTGAACTATTGACTATAGAGATATTTAAGTTAATGTCCTTAACAGTGTTGGGACTTATCTAGATAATTGTTTGTATTTTTTCCAAGATTAAAGTTATTTTTATTCTTGTACGGAGGCGATTCCAACAAATCAGAGATCATAAAAATTGGTCCAGCCGTTCTTGAATTATAAATTCTCTAACCAACCCAACTTTCTTTTATATATGTAGATTTTGTATTCATAATCATAATTTGTGTATTATTAATAAGTAATTATTATTTCTTGGTATGACATTTTGTTTGTATTTTCATGTTGGGAAAATATTTTTGGTATTTTTAAACTTAATTTCTTATTTTTCCATGGAAGTTCCAAATATAATAGGTATTTGATTTTAATATACACATGTAAGTCATACGCTGAATAGTCAATACTTCACTTTTGGAACCTGTTAAGTCGTAACTACTTATAGAATAATGAAAATCATCAAATTAAGATTATATGGAAAACAATATTGTTAATTTAAAATAATTTCTTATGTATTCTGTATCCATCCTGATACGTACAAGCAATTATACGAGCAATACGAGCATAATACGAGCAATTTTCATTGTTTTTTTTTTTTTTTAGTAACATTTTAGTGATTAACTAGCATTAATTATTGTACATTATATATAAATATTACTTAATGGTACACAATAATACTACAATAAACATTAAACACCAAGGTACCTATTCATAATAATGATTATAATTGAGTCTTCATAGATATTATTACAAATATGAAATATTGACCAAAAAATAAAATTTTTTGAAAATATCCTTTTTTTATCTATTATCTTTATCTAAATGGATTTGAACATATTATCTTTCATCTTTATTTAGATACATTTTGCATTATCTATTCTCAACACGGGCCCTTAACATATAGGGTGATGTTTACCGGCCGGCTTGTCTAGTGTTACCAATGTATATTATATTCCAACTATTTTTACGTACAATTATTGCAGAAACTATTTATTGATAAATCTATTAATATATTTATTAAAGTATTATAGGTACTTAAGTTACCTCCAAGTTCAAATAAGCAAAACTTAAATGCAGTATTAATGACAATTGTTTAAGAAATTATAACTATTAACCATCAATACAACATTTCTTGTGACTAAAATGTGAAAGGATAAATTCAAACCAAGGCCAGAGAAATTTAAAATAACTACTTTTAACATTGAAGATATTTTTATGTTTTTAAATTTATGTTGGATTGAGGAAATTGTTCATATACTTTAGAGCTTTTCCATTCAATAACGTGTACATACGTCATATTTTAATAAAAATTACATACTTATTTTTAGTAATTTTTTTACAAAACAATAATTGTTTATTATTTATAAAAAAATTTTTTTTTTTTTGTTTTAATAAAATATTTATAAAGTATGTTAACAAAATTCTGATGAATACAATTTTAAATTTTAAATTGTATTCAATTGAACCTGATTGAACCTTAACTCTCGACTAATGTAACCTTTAACCTCATTAAATTAATTATTAAATATTATACATAGAAACTAATCTTTTTACTTTGAACGTTTGATAAAAACTAAAAAAAATTTAAAATATTATATAGGTAAATAATTTTTAAGAATAATAATTAATAAAGAAGTTACTAAATTTACATAACTTATAATAAATACACACAGTTTATTTTGATTATTTGAAGTGAAATTGAAGAATAAATTAATGGCTTTATTTATTTTTAATTGAACTTCGGTAATATGTATGAACTTTTATCAAATATTATATTATTGAATATTGATTTAATATTTGATATATATATTTTCTATATAAAGTAATTTTTTAAAAATTAAATTTAGATAAATAATTTAGAATTTAGATTTCTCATTCAACAATGTTATCTCATTTAATTTGTCTGTATCTCATATTTTATGATTTGCAAAAGATAGTCCAATAAAAATAACTAATAAAAACTTAATAGTAAACTACTCGGGACATTATACATTACTGTATAAAATGTTGTGGTAGTATTTTATTGGATTAATTTGTATTCTTGTAAAGAGGTATGAGAAATTGAGAATTGTATTTGATTGTACGGTGATTTTTTTTACGTCTGATATATAGATGTTCACCAATCATAATAATTTATTATTTTATTTGTAGTAAAAGTAATTTTAATTTTTTAAACTTTTAAAATAAAAATGAGAACCCTTGGGTGAACTCCTCCCCGCTATAGAATTAATAACGGAATGCACCTCAGAAGAGAGCTCACATTTTTATGATAATTCAGAAAAGAAATGGGAAGTGGCTCGTTTGGATGTTTTGATGAGTCAGTGTAGTCCAGGTGAAAGCATTGATACAACGTCATTTGGTCAACATGACCGACAGACGAATCTTAGCCGTACTTTTTACTTTGTGTACTTTTGGAGTCCCGAGGATTCTAGCTGCATCTAAAAATATTCCAAAATGGAAAAAACAGGTAAAAACAATTTACAATTATAAACGAAGTTGACTAAATTTTTTTTAAATTCTAAAACATAAAATTGTTTCATTTTGTTTTAAAATATTTAAACTGTGACATCACTTTTATGTAAAAATAATAATTATTATTAATACGAGTATCTTGATGATCATCTAAGTGTAATTTAAAAAATTATTTTTTAACGAAAAACAGTTGCATTCCAAATGAAACAATAAAGGCTCGTATAGTGACTTTCTATTATGATCGTTCGTCGGTCACGTTGTATACGATATTGGTTAAACCCGTGATAAAAACTGGTAGCCTAGTGACCCACTATATAAACAAGGATGTGTTGGCTAAAGTGTCGATTTCTGGATCATACAAGTTGGATATATGTTCTACAGTTCTCAGGTTTCGTACAACGGTAAAATTGATAGTCTACATACGATAAATGAATAATTAAAAACTTTTACAAATCGTAATAAAATATTTTGTATATGGTTATAATAACTATATGTTGGAAGTATTTAAGTAATTGGTTTAAAATCTAAAAAACAAATATGAAATTAATACAACAAATACCTACTTTAATTATTAAATAAAAATATATTTTTTTTTTAACAATAAAAGATTTTAAAATATAACTTAATTAAATATCAACGAGAAGCCATTATTCCTCATATGATTCATTATTATGATTATTATTATTATTACTGTTGTGTTGTCAAAACTTTAAAATTATTTATTTGTCATTGTTAATATCTCTTTAATTTTGACATCTTGAACGTAGTATCTTATTTTTTATTAGATTATTTTATTTTGATAATATGTTTTTTTACAATAAATAAATATGAAGTACTAAAAATATAATAATGCAATCAGTTAGATATTTTTTTCCTCAATTATTGTTCAATGAAGCATCCTAATATGTTCAGATGAAAAAATCTCGATGCGAGCAGTACCTTTTAAATACTTATTTCAGAGTTCAAACTAGAGTCAACAAAAAAATAATAACATTTACCGTATATTTATGAACACATTATATATATTTTATAGCTACACGTCTTTAATCTATATTACTGTTATATCCAGTGGCGTAATTGTAGGGGGGAAAGGGGGGCAAGTGCCCCTTAAATAAATATAAATATGTTTTAACTGGTGAGGGGGAAGGGAGTCAGGGTTTTGGCAATAATAAATATATTATATTGTTCACCCTAGATTTTTTCCCAGTTACGCCACTACTTATATCTATTTTGCATATTGTTATGATTATTGTTTCCATTGTCATGCCTTGCTTTTTTAAATTCTTATAAAATATTAAATAGAAGTCCATTAACTACATTACTCAATTTATATTTCAAATTAATATAAACAAAAAAAAAATTGTAATTAGCACTTTTAACTTTTAACTATTTGCAAAATATTTCTACATTTAAAATATAAAATCTGATAATATATTTAGTAAGAAGGTCCATGTTTTAATAAGCTTTACTGTTATATTAATACATTAATTTTTTGTATAAAATACCAAATTACTTTCAATATGCTCAGCTATGAAGAATTTTCATAATTAAACATTTACTGAAACATTTTTATATGATAATGATTATAGTCTAATATATCTTAACATATTTCAATTCTAACCAAATACGTATTTTATCAAAATAAACAGCATAATACATTTTTTTCTAAATTATGTTCTTTAATCTTATATTTGTATATATATAAGACTCGGATTTTAAAGCATAATAAATAACAAAAAAAGCGCAACATTGTCTTAAAAAAGCAAAAATAAAGCATATTTATTTTTATTAATGATTAATATATATTAATTGTTTCCAGCCTTTGTTTTTCAATAGAATACGATTTAGTTTACCTAAAATTGCAGTTGAAATATCTCCATTAGTTTAATTTGATTCTTTTCTGCATCTAAGGCAATATTTATACATTTTGTCAACGATCTAACTGTCTGCGTATTGATAATCTATACGCTTAATAAATTTAACAATTTAGCCGAAAACAATAATTATCCAATACAACCATTTAGTCCATATTCCGGGCTTTCAATTTTGTTATTAATAAAAAAAACATTTTTTTTTTATTACTATAGTATAACAAACATATAAAAATTCCACAGTTGGAATAACTGAAAATGCAACAAAAAAGCCGAAAATGCGAAAATAAATTAGTTTATTTGGAAACAGAAAGATGTAAAATGAATTTATATTTAAAAATTGGAGTTCTATCTTATATGTAAAAAAAGAAGCATTTGCTTTAAAATCTGAGCCCTATATATAACATATAAAAATATTTATTTTGAATATTATTAAAAATGAATGTATAATGTCGATTAACGATATTGAACAAATAAACCATCTACTGAATGTCATGTGTTGTTTATTTACTTTCTTTAGGCTTGTGAAGCACCAGCAACGCAAAATGAATCAAGTCATTATATTTGTGACGATAATGGTGATATGAAATGTCTACCTGGATGGATAGGAGATTTGTGCGATGTTCCCATTTGTAAAAAAGGATGTGACCCAATTCAAGGTTATTGCAAACGGCCAAATGAATGCCGCTGCAAGTTGGGTGAGTGAAATTAAGTAGAAAATCACGAATTTATGTTTTATTCTTTTATATGTAATTAAATCTAATACATAAAATTGTTTAGGTTTTTATGGTGATACGTGTAACAAGTGTATTGCACTACCAGGCTGTCAACATGGTTATTGCAACAATAGTTTTGAATGCAAATGCTTAGAAGGCTGGGATGGCATATTCTGTTCAGAACGTAATGATGATTTTTTATTGAAAGTAATGGAGAATGTAGATGGTGCATTAAAATTATCTAAATAATTTACATGTTTTTTATGTGCAACGTTCTATAGCGGTCTGTCACGAAGACTGTCATCCAAGTAAAGGGTATTGTGACTGGCCCGGGGAATGCAGGTAAAAATGGTTTTTGGAAAGAAAGAACAGAGTATTAAAGTAACAACTATTCTTAGTGCTTTATTTTTTGAAAAGTATTAATTTTTATGTTACTTATTTGATGTGTTCGCTAAATTTGATATTTATTTCATGAGTTTATTCGAATTGAGAAAATAATATTTAGATATATATATTCAAACCATATCTGAAATTTGTGTTTAATAATAATCTTAATTTATTTTTATCATGTTTAACAATCCCTATTATAAGTAAATGTATACTTAAATAAGACATTATAACATTGCAATATAAATTATAAAAAAAAGACATTTTAAATTGTTTACATTTTTATTTTTGATTATGGTTTAAAATGTTATCAATACTTATAAATTACCATAAAACTTAATGCATTGGAATTAATTAATTTTTACTTGGTATTTATCAAAATTATGCAGATGCCGTTTAGGTTGGACTGGTGATCTCTGCAAAGAATGTCAACCATTGCCAGGATGTATGCATGGGACATGTTCAAAGCCTTTGGAGTGTAAATGTGAAAAGGGTTGGCAAGGGATTTTATGTCAGATACGTAAGTAAAATAAAATAGTTTTTTTTTAAAGTTGTAACAAATAATTATGTAAACATATTTTGTTAAAGCCGTATGTTCCGAGGGTTGTCATCGAGATCGAGGATATTGTCGTAAACCAAATGAATGCAGGTATGTATAAATGTTAAGTTTAAGTTTTACAAAAAATGCAAAATTAAACATTCGTTTAACTATAAACATAGGTGTAAAGTTGGTTGGTGGGGTAAAAATTGTACTCAATGTTTTCCATATCCAGGATGTGTTCATGGTACATGTAATCGCCCGTGGGAATGCAACTGTAAGTCAGGTTGGGGTGGTATGCTTTGTGACCAAGGTAATGAAAACTTAACTGTAAAAATAAAACATAAATTAAAAATTAGGGTAATCAATTTATAATTTTTAGAATTAAAATATTGTGAAACCAATAATGTAACGTGTCAAAACGGTGCTACTTGTATAAGTCTCCCAGAAGAAGATGGAAATTATAGATGTCTTTGTGCTGATGGATACATTGGACGAAATTGTGATGTTGATAAAAAAAGAGTAATTATTCTATATATAAAACATATTTCTATATTATCTAGTTTCATATGTAGAATTTAAATGCAAAAAACTATTGAAATTAACCTAAAAAAATAAAATGTTATTAGTTGAATAAGATGGTAAAAATATACTTATCCTCCGTGGTAAAAATGGTGATAGCTAAAATTATCATTCATGTAATTTATTTATTTTATTTTAAATTAAATATTAATGTATGGGACCATTTATATGTGAATATAATAGCCTCAGTCAGGGGATAAGAAAATGATTCCTAAATAATTAAAAATTAATAAGCTTTAAAAAAAATATCAATCGTAATTAATAAAAGGAAAATTACACAGATTTATAAATACATTTGTATTATTTTTTGATGTTTGATTTATGACTGTGGTTTTTTACTAAATGATCAATTATGTTTTTAGGTTGAAATCGTAGGTTTAGTACCTCCTAAACCTAGTTTAATGCTACTGAAGTCAACAACCACTACGCCTTCGACAGTTTCTGAAGATTTGTTATTAGAAGGTGATGATGAATATGAAGAAGAAACTACAAAACCTAGTTCCTTTATATCATTGACGGTTAGCGAAAATGAAACTTTAAATGAAGCAATCTGATTCTTAAGACATTTAAAGTAAAATACTATACATAAATTACTCACTTTATGAATTGTATAATTTATTTATTTATTTATTTATTTATTTATTTATTTATTTATATATGTTAAAAAATAAACTATACCAAAATAAATGTCCATATTTATTAAATTTATTAGTTGAAGGTTTTAACATTTTTATTCGCTATTGAGTATAGTTATCTAAATTATTGACAATTCATATATTTTAATGATAAGAGGTTTAACAATTAATTATTTTCTTTTTTAATATATTTATACTATAAATATTATAGAGTTATTATATAGTTATATTACTTATTAGTATAGAGTCTTATTATATAGTTTTATTACTTCTGGTTGTTCAACTGTATCATATTTTTTTATTTTTTCATCCCACCGTTCGACATTATCTACACTTCCAGATTCAATAAAATTTGATGCCATATGAACAGATTTACTATCATACCATTTTAACAATTCGATTGTATTTTTGTCATTTCGAATTTCGTGTGTTGTCCCCTTCCCTATGGAAGCACTTTATCAGTCATAAATGGGGGCTTTGAAAATCTATCCACTCGTATAGTCGACGCTGCAAATATTTTCCGTTTCAACAATATTTCGAATAAATTATAACTTGCAAAAAAATTATCAAAAAATAAGAAGTGCTTATTTTCCTCAATATGTTCGGTTAATTGTAGAACAACTGAAGTGCCTGGACTAAATTTATTTTTAAATTGAGGGAAAAATTCAGTCTCACTGCCTTGGTAGATGAATATCTTTCGGTTTTAATTTATTAGCCATAGTCAAATCTCACAGTGAAAAATCACGATTATAATAATAACTTGTACAAAATATTATAGACGATACTGTTCGACAGACGAATTATAAATGTTATGGTTTTTGATAAAAAATATCAACAGACAAGATTATAAATGTGTATATATGTGTTAAAAAAAACCTATCATTAATAATAATTTGAATTGTGAAGATAAGTAAAAATAAGGGGGTAGGATATTTCTAAAACTAAACATAAAATAATATTGATTGATCCATATTTTGAATCGACTACCAGTGGGCATTTGAATACCCACCAACTTTATGACTAGCATCTGCACCATCTAGTGATCCGTTTCTTCCGATTCTTATATAATTTTACTGTAAAGATACTACTTAATCACTATAATTTATTATAGTGAAATATTTATTTGTCCTTTATTTTTCAACCTCGCGTCAACATTAAAAGCTCTACGGCAAAACTAGTAAGTGCTGTTTTATTTAGCTTGGCAGACTGTATAATTGCGCTGATCGGCTCTCGAACCTTCTCAACCCTGAGAGCCCTCCCAAACAAGGAGGAAGGTAACAATCCATCAATACCTCACCGCCATTCACATATATACCACATCCCCCATACTTCCCATTCATCCCTTCTCACGACTTATTTTATTTTTTGCATTCATGGGTTATTATACACATTATGTCCTAATAGGCTGCGGTTTCTAACAGTCCTCAAAGACCTAGAAGAAATTGATCTCGGATGGTGGTTAGTATATGTTATGATGATAATGGTACATTTTACTTGCATCACAAATTGATAAAATCAGGTAACTTGTATCTGAATAATATTAAAGGCATTTTAAGAAATTTTGATTAACAACTTTGTTGGGATGCAAGTAACTTTCAATCAATGCTATGTTATATTATATATACTCAGTTGTATTTCGATTGATATTATATTTATTTATATAGTTTGGCCTTGAGTATACCTGTTGATAGTCTTGTGGACTTGGTGAAATCATGTCCAAAATTGAAAAAGATCATTATAGTTTCGTTACGTGGATCTTCTTGCATTTGCGGATCACTGTCCTTTATTAGAACAAATTGATTTGGTCGGTCTCAGAGCAATAACAGTTGACGCTTGCTTCAAGTTCCTAGAGAAATGCGAGAATCTTAAGTTGATGGACGTAAACTTTTGTGAGAACATTAAAGAAGTGAATGTTCAAGAGTGGCGGCAGAAATATCCTAATGTATGCATTCAATTTACTACTTCTGACTATACAAATGTTTATCATTACTAGATCGTCAGAGTACTTTTTAAATTTTCCATTTTGCTTTAAACATTAAGTAAAATATAAACTTATAAAAATAATTTTATCTACTATACGTTCCCAAAATATGGTTTTGTGGATTTATAAAAATATTTTGTTATAAGTTGTGATCAATTATAAAAATTACTTTTAAGACCAAAATGATCAATTATATTAGTTTTTTATTATTTGAACTGAGGAATAATAAATATTAATTAAGTTTATATCGAGAATCTCATTGACTTTACAATTGTTTTCTATTTTGATAAAAGAAAAAAATGTCAGATAAAATTAATATTATGTTCAAGCAAAGATAATTAATATTATTTGTTAATGTTTTTAATTTTTAAAAGATTTAATAAAATTAATATGATTGATTAATTATTTGAACCGTCCATAGTATCTTAATCCATTATTGTAATGTTTATGATATTTGATTTTCAAAAAATGAATACTGTACATGCTAGTTATACTTACACTCAATGTTTGTATATAACTTTGTAGTTTCATTTTCTTATTTTCAGCTAATCCAATTATAAATTATTATTTCAATCACATTGAAATATTTGTTTTTTTCCAGTACTAATAGTAAGGGTTGAACAGAAATAGTTGTATTATAGAGTAAGTATTCTATCAAGGTTCAAACGTTGATTTTATTATTATTTATTTTGTAAAATATATTAGATCATACTCATTGATTCAAAACATTTAGCAGAATCAAGTAATGCTTGTACCTGATGTTTGAATAATTTATTCAGGAAAAAATTGTTCAGATATAGATTTTTATGTGATCATGTGAAATTTGTATTATATTTACTAGGAACTTAATTCATACGGCCGATTAGGTAAAAACTAAATATTTTTATAAAATTCTAGTTTTTAACGAAAGCGTTAGTTTTCGATAATTCTATTTGAATTTAATGTTACACGAAGTAATGGTATGGGCATTATTATGACGACTAGGCTACTTATATTTAGTCGTATATGATTATAACATAGAATATAACTGTTTTTCGTCGACTTAAATGAAGCTTACGTAAAGCATTGACATTGCCATTTGTATATTTACTTAATTAATTTAGATCATAGTTTTGTTTATGGATGTGAGCATGTGGTTTGTTTGAGAAAATTCAAAAAACATTTAGCCACTTAAAACCAGGCGGTAAATAAATTGACTATCAAGTATAAGAATTGTGAACTATAATATTTTCGTGGCTATGATCTATTCTAAATAAACTTAAAAGACATTTAAAATTGAAGTATATGGGCAGTTTTTAGAAAACAATGATAAATTTGTCCATTTAATGAAAATGATAATTGCAAAAATTGTTTATGTAAAATAAAACTAAAAAAAAAAAATGAAAATGAACATTATACTTATGAAATATAAATCATTTATTTATTTGTAAACATAAAAATATTTTATAGATTATTTAGTTTATTTATATGGCTCTATGTAAACTGCAGCAAAACTAACCTTTTTCTAAAAGTCGATACGTAAACTGTAGAAAAAAAAATTAAGATTTTACAATCTGTGACAAAACTGATAAGATACATTACTATTTATTATAGTACCTAAATCATACATATATACCTACCTATGTACGTATATCATTTAATTAATTATGAAATGTTGCGTCTTGCGTACAAAGTGGTAAGGTAAATCCAAATATATTTTTAAGTTTTAACGAATCATATCGGTAATATCGGTTCCTTTACTTTTGATAAAATAAGTTATAAAAAAGTTGACACATGTATAAAAATTAAAATCGCAGAAGAAGGAATAATGCAAAAAAAAAAAAAAAAATAAAGCGAAAACGCAAAAACAAAAATTTATTAACGAACAGCGATAAATGAAAGAAGATGGACGAATTTCAAGATATGAATTTGTGGAAAAAGTATTTTTAAAAATAAACGACAAAATGTTAAAAGGACATCACACCCGCATGTGTTGTCTCTGTCTGACATACGTACAACAGCAAATTGGCGTTCAGTGATTCAAATGTAGTGAAGTTAGGTTTAATATTAAACCGACCAATAATTCAACTTTAAGGGAAGAACATTATGTGTGTTTTGTTGGTTGGTTATTCCCGATATTTTAATTTTTTAGCTAGCTATGATGTTTTTTTAATTATTATATTTTACAAACTCATAACACGCTTAAAAATTAAAATATCCGAAAAAACCGACCAACAAAACACAGATAATGTTATTCCCTTAAAGTTGGATTATAGGTCAATTTACACTAATATTAAAGCTAACTTCACTACATTTGAATCACTGAACACAAATTTGCTGTTGTACGTATGTCAGACAAAGACAACACATGCGGGTGTGATGTCCTCTTAACATTTTGTCGTTTATTTTTAAAATTACTCTTTCCAAAAATTCATATCTTGAAATTCGTCCATCTTCTTACATTTCTCGCTGTTCGTTAATAAATTTGTATTTATTAATAATTAATTTAAGGCCTCTTAAATAATAATATTTTTCAATTTTAAAAATTGATTTTTATTTATTTTTATGCCTAATACTCTAAGAGTAACTAGACTAAGAGCTGTCATAACACATATTATTCCTAATTAAACAATAAAGGTGTATATAGGTAATCGTAACGGTATGTATATATAGTATATATAAAGGTATATATGATAAATTGCCGCAGTTTGTATAATGTACTTATCGGTTTTGTCGCAGATTGTATAATCTTAATTTTTCTTTTGCCGCAGCTTACATATCGACTTTTAAAAAAAGGTTAATTTTTCCGCAGTTTACCATGTTCCATTTATATTGAATATACTAATAGTTCACATGGAACTTTAGTCTTGGAATTTATCGGCATGGACTTAGGTCGTTGGTCGTCATACAATTCCCAGTTTCCAGCATTTCTTCTGCAGTAGGCACGGTAATGTCCTATATCGTTTATTTGACCGTTTACCCCATGCGCGTGAGAACATATTCCTCTAAGA